AGTTCACAGTTCGTGTTGATATTCATATACTTGCTAACCCTATCCTTCGTTTTCAATCTGCCCTTCCACAGCAACCGTACTATGAATCTGAATTTGGGTGGATTATATTTATTCCAGACCCATTCTCTCCACTCGGGGTTTTCCCCCTCCCCTTGTAACCAATCATACCCTCTATTTATGGTATAAGGTAGATTTGCAGGCATACTAGTAAACTTCTTCTTAACCCTTGTCATTTCCTTCCAATAATGGCATGAGTCTTGTTTAGGCTTGTAGCTCCAGAAGTCATCCCCTTTAATGTATCTCGCATGTATCCACCTAACCCATAAGATGTCTTTCTTGTCAGCTATGTCCCAGTTAAGTTTCATAATGGCTGCATAATTCCAGTTCAAAGCATTTTTAATCCCCAAGCCACCATACATCCTTGATTGGCACAGTTCATCCCATTTGACTAGGGGTGCCTTTGTGTATTCTGCCTTACCATTCCACAAAAAGTTCCTACAGATTGCCATTATCTTCTTCATCACTCCTTTAGGTAGAATGAAAATTCTTGCCCAGAAATAGATTACTCCCATCAGCATTGAGTTGATTAGTCTGACCCTGGCTGTGTAAGAAAAATGTCTGGTCCCCCACACTGTTATTCTTGCTGTAATTTTATTTACCAACGCATCTCATTCATGGCCCCTCAATCTAGCTGTGGTTATAGGGGATCCCAGTTATTTGAATGGGAACTTACCTTCCTTCATATTAGTTATTTCCAGTAGCTTGTGTTCAGTTTCATGGCTTATTCCCCCAAACACAACTTCAGATTTGCTCCTATTTATCCTCAGCCCAGTGGTTAGCTGAAACTCCTCCAAAGCATTCAAAAAAAAAATACAGCTGACAGATTTGCAATCTGCTTTGCACACAACGATCAAATCATCAGCAAAAGTTAGGCTTACAATATTCAGTCTTTTACACATGGGATGGTAAGAGAATCCCTCCTCTTTGGCAACCATATGAAACTTCCTTGTGAGATACTCCATTACTAACACAAAAATTAGTGGAGATATTGGGTCACCCTGTCTCAAACCCCTACCCCCTTTGAAGAAACCGTGTTGCTCTCCATTCACATTTAGTGTATAAGTGGGAGTGGAGATACAAAACATAATCCATTCAACAAATTTCCCTGGGAACTTCAATCCGTGTAAGATACCCTTTATTGATTTCCAGCTTACTGAATCATACGCTTTTTGAATATCCAACTTCATCATACATCTGGGGGTCACTCCTTTCTTCTTGTATCCTTTGGCCAATTCTTGGCACAATAATACATTGTGGAGCAATTCTCTTCCTTTTACAAAGGCAGACTGGTTCAGATTTACAATATGAGGCACCACTTCCTTTAGTCTGGTGCAGATCATCTTTGATATCACCTTGTATACAGTATTGCAGCAAGATATGGGCCTGTAATCTTCAGGTTTCATTGGGCTGCTAACCTTTGGAATGAGGGTTATACAAGTAGTATTAATCTGTTTTAGGGTAGTATCCTCCCTAAAAAACTCCAGCACTGCTTTTGTAACTAGTTTGCCCACTTTATTCCAGTTCTTTTTAAAAAACCCACTACTATACCCATCAGGCCCCGGGCTTTTTGAGTCGGGAATAGAGAACATAGCTTCCCTTACCTGTTCTGCCTGGAACTCCTTCACTAATGCTAACTGCTGCTCAATAGTTAGGGTCCTTCGTGATTAAATTATCCCCCTATCAATCTCTTTAGTGGAGATGGTGGTTCCCAGCATTTTGATGTAGAAACCTTCAAGAACTCCTGCTATTGCTTCTGTTCCTTCCACTTCCCTCCCATCATCATTAATACTCATGATATAATTATTAAGTTGCCTCTTCTTGGCCCAGACAAAGAACATTTTGGACCCCTTGTCACCCGCTGTGATCCATTCTAGTTTGACTTGTTGACATTTCAGCTGCCGGGATGCCTTAATGACCTCATTCATTTGTTTTCTCATATCCCTTTCTTTATTGATTAAGGTTTGATAAGAATGGAGCTTAATCCTCCCTTGAATTTCATCTCTAATATCATCTACCCTCTGGTGGATACTTCTATATTTGTCTTTGTGAAGCTTCCTTAATGACACCTTCATTCTTTTTAAATTCTGAACAATTTGATACATGCTCCTTTGATTCAGATCCTCTTTCCATTCATTCTGCAAGATTTGTATAAATTTGGGGTCTTCCATCCACATATTGCAGAACCTGAACCATCCTCCTCTCTTCGGGCAGTTGGTTTCTTTAATGAGTAAAGGTGAATGGTCTGACACACCTTCATTCAGTACTTTGGTTTTGATATTATGTCTCCTGATCCATTCAATGTTTACAAGCACCCTATCCAGCTTTGATAGGATTCTGTGATCCTCATCCTGTTTGTTAGACCAGGTGTAGAAAGGCCCCTCACTTGGCAGTTCTTCTAGTCCACAATCAACTATACAATTTTTAAATTCCCTTATGTCATCATCTGTGACTGGGGTACCCCCCAATCTATCCTCCACATTCAGTACACTATTAAAGTCCCCTAGGCAGCACCAAGGACCGTCCATACTACTTGCATATTCTCTTAATTTGTCCCATAACATTTTCCTTCCCCCATTATCGTTGAAAGCATAGATAAAAGTAATATAATCATACTCACGATTGTCTATATTTCTTATCTTCACATGTATAGCTTGTGCACAGCAGTCTATTATGTGTACAGCTATCCTCTTCGTATTCCATAATAGCCAAATTCTACCAAGTGGAAGGTGATCCACATTGGTGTAAAAACCCCAACTCTTCATAATTTTATTCCTTATTTCTTCTTCTTTATTCCTCCTAACTTTAGTTTCCAGAATACCCATAATATCAGGTTTGTGTTTGTCTATCATATTCCTGACCTCCCACTACTTATTAAGGCTGTTCAGCCCCCTCACATTCCAGCTAATGATCATTGAAGGAAGGGGTAGTGGCCATAAGGGGATTCTCTTATGGGATCCCCTTGATTCCTCAGATCATCTATTGTAAGTCTCCTAGCTGCCTTTTTCCCAGTTACAACTTGAAATCCTTCTTCATCCTCCACGGGTTCCTTTTCTTCAATAGGCATTTCAGTTCCCTTTTCATGGTGTACTTGCACAGGGGTATTCATTTCCTTCTTTTCTCCTTCCTTTTCCTTTGGGCGCCATACTTTCCTCGTGATATTCCTTTCCTGTTTCCCCTCTTTCTTCCTACACTGTGAGCTTAGGTGACCCAGTTTCCCACACTTAGAGCAGATTGAGGGCCTCCATTCATAAACCACCTCCTGGGTTACCACTCTATCATCCTTATCAACATAGTGAATTATGTAGGGAACTCCTGTTGAACTTGCACCTCAATTTGTATCCTTGCATAACTCCATTTTGCTCTGGTTGCAGTAGCTCTGTCCCTTTTGATAGGTTTACCCAATATACTTCCCAATTTTCCCAGGCCTGATAAACTCCAATACCTCATATCAAGGTTAGGAAATTGGACCCAGATTGGGATATCACTTAGTTCCTGGATATTCAGTTGTTTCCCAGGGCTCCATCTCTGTACTAACATCGGTTTATTGTCAAAATAGTAGTATTTCCTTTTCACAATTTCATCTCTATCTTCAGGTTTCTGAAACATTACAATATATTGGCCCTCTTTATGGAAACTCACATCATCCACTGTATAATCCTTCCAGATCCTGGCGATAAATCCTTTTACGATTTCCAGAGGTGGATTTGTTCCTAGGATGTAGCAGATAACCGCATTATCCCAGAGTCCTTTTTCCTCAATCACATCCTCGTCAGTAAACCTAGCAATCCTTTTTCCATTTACTTCTTCAAATTGATAGAAACTGAGATTTGTTTGTACCTCCGTGGAAGTAAGAATTTCCGCATAGGTAGGTTTAGCCTGTTGCTCAATTCTGATTTCATCTCCTGGTTCTTCAGGCAAACCAGATTCAGTAAAATCGGGCACTTTCCTCGCATCAGTCGTCGGTGTTTCGCCTCCTTTTGGAGTATTAGCTGAGCTTCCTGCTTGCTCGATAGCCTTCCCTGATTGTGTTTTTTGTTCTGTAATCACCGATTCATCGTTCTTCTTTGGACGCCCTTTCTTCTTCGCCATGGGAAGGAGAGAGTCGCTTCCAATTCGCTTAAATTCAAATGCTTTCATCTTTACTTTCACAAATTTGAAGTATTAGAAACAAAATGTGCATTGTGTAATTATCAAATGTGTATACATCAATTTCATAATGCGTGCAAGCTTTGAGTATGTGCGATAAAATTAATGCAGGTAATGAGCTTTGTCTAATTTGTTAATGTGGATAGATTGGATGTGCAGTAAATATCATACATTCGGATGCATAATATCATTATTCATTTCCTTATTTCAGCGTCTATTCTTTCTTATTTAATCCAGAAGAGGTTACTCGAGGATTCAAGGTAGTTTGAGAATTAAAGAACTTTTTCTTCCATTGCCATAAATTCCTTGCAACCTAAAGCATTTGAAAAAAAGAGATACAGAGTAGTCAAGTAGCTAGAGAAAGGGATGCATTCGGCTTCAGAGAATGATACTCCATCGCCGGGGATTTTCATCCCCAGTGAATGGTGCAATGCCGCCAATGCCATATCCTGTGAATCTGTCACTTCTCCGCCAGTGGCCCTCATATGCGGCCCCAAAAATTGTGGCAAGACAACATTCTCCCGCCACCTCCTCAATGTTCTTCTCAGAAGGTATCTTTTCCTTTTTTTGCATGTCCTAGTCATTACAATAGAATTCGAATAATAATTTACCTTCTTTGTGCTCCACCAAGGAGCATCTATGTAAAATGCAAAAGTAATTAACTTTGGTTTGCATGGATTCAGGTTTTTTCTTAATTGATGTGAATAGATTTCTCCCTGTTTTCAAATAGATCCCTTTGAAATCATGAGTTAACTTTTCTTTCCATAAATTTTATCGTTCTTAATAGTCACATTCTGGTAGGTTTGAAGGTTTTCTTGTATAAACATGGATAATAGAGTGCGCTGTTGGTATTTCAGGTACAGAAAAGTGGCTTATTTGGATACAGATGTTGGGCAGGCAGAGTTTACGCCACCCGGCTTCCTATCACTCACAATAGTTGACAAAATGCCTGCTGGTATGCTTTAGGCATTTGTATTGATGCTTATTTAGTTGCTTTCTTTTTGAAATTTGTTGTCTGTTTTATGACATGAGGTGCTGATACTTTATAGTTATTTTAATTCTCTGCTTTTTTCTATTCAGATATCAAAGTTCCCTGCCTTAAAACACCAGAGAGGTATGCACTCCGAGATTTTTTGCTCCCTCCGCCCCGTTTTATTGTCCCTACTTTGACTGGGCACTGAGTTTGCAGTATTTTAGAGGAGAACCACGATAAAATGGTACCGACCCAAACAGAAAACATGCGTGATAAATTGGGAGTTGGGACATAGGGGTATAATCTTACACTACCCTGTTTACTGATGCCAATAGTTGTCAAACTTTATAGAAGCAGACGATTAAATCCAGATTGGGAAGGCAATATTTGTCATTATTACATTTACATGACACTTTGCATTGATACTTTTTTATAAAAGTGATTACAGATAAAACATCCCTGCAAGCTTTGATATCTAATTTGCTTTATGGCCTAATGCATTATGTAGTGGTTCTGAAACATGCACAAAACTCAGTGGCATGCTTTAATAACATATACTGTAATTCAAATTCATAATGTCTATAGCAAGGTAGTCAAACTCTAGATTCTACGTAGGATCGATAAGCATAGTGAAGATCGTAACATCGTAAGATCGTGAATCGGATCGTAAGATCCTACTATATATATATATATACATATATATATATATATATATATGTATGTGTATATATATATATATATGTATATATATATATATATACGTTTAATTTTTTAATTAAATTTTATTAAAACATAACACAAGTTCAAGTTGGATCACAAATGACCTAAAACTTTATACTTAAACATCTAAAACATAATTATCAATGCTAAAATCATAATCCTCAAGTTCTTTATCTTCATCTTCATCTTCATCTTCGTCTCCCTCATCCAAATTGGTGACATCCAACTCCTCTTCATGTTCAGGTTGAACATTTGCAGCAGCCTCTTCTTGTCCATTTTGTGTTGGAACATCCTTGGAGTTATTGCCAGCAGCCTCTTCTTCTCCATTTTGTGTTGGAACATCTGTGGAGTTATTGCCAGCAGCAACTTCATCACCTCCTGGGTCTTCACCAACATCTTCCATAATCCACTCATCATCTGACGAAAGATCTTCTAGTTTGAGCGGATTTGATCTCTTGGCTTTCTTCTTTTTTGCCAATTTTGAATTAGTCATGACAAAAACAACATCGTTCATTGTTTTCTGCTTCAAACGATTTCTTCTCTTTGTATGGACCTAATGAAAATTATCAAGTCATATTTATTTGCACATTGTAGAATGTAATAAAACTTTAGAAATCTTACCATCTCAAATGCACTCCAATTACGCTCGCATCCTGACGAACTGCATGTCAAGCTCAATACTCGAATCGCAAATTTTTGAAGGTCTGGATGTTCATCTCCATATGAGTCCCACCAATCTGCTGGACTTAGCTTATCAAATGTCTTTTGAGCCAATGGAGAACCAAATAACTTTTGACGCTTCTTAAAGTCCTGTAGTTGAACATCAATCCTTGCCTGTTCTTCGATATCAGCCACCATGCGTCGTAAACAATCATATACGCCTTGTTTAACTTCATAATCAACTTTAAAACCGGGGCTATAGTGCATGCGAGGGTTAAGATAATAGCCTGCGGCATGCAAGGGCCTATGAAGTTGTTTATTCCATCTGAGATCAATGACACTCCACAAAGGCCTATAACTGAACACAAAAGAAGTATTTTAATTATTACTTAAATTCAAATTAATATTTTATGATTTTATTCTACAAAGGACTTATGTGATGTACCTTTTCTTGACATTTTGGAAAGCTGCTTGTATCTTTTCTTTTGCTCGGTCCATTGCCTCGTAAAGAAATCCCATGGCAGGATGCTCATCAGAATCAACCAAACGAAGCACCTCAATGAGAGGTAATGCACCCTTTAAGCATATCACTATGCTTTTCCAAAAGTCCTTATCCAACACAATCTCCTCCACAACTTTTCCATCCTTTATTTTTGAGTGTTTGTTTGTCTTCCACTCTTCTGAGGTAAACATTCTAATTAAACCACCTTTGTTTTCATAAAGACACCCCAAAGTTAGATAAGCAGTAGCAAATCGGGTCATTCCCGGTCTCACCAAATCTTTCCCATCTGTGAAGTGGTGTAATAGAGGAATCAGAGAAGGTCTAGAGTAAATATAAGTAGTGATTTTGCGACCATTAGGAATTGTCACTCCATGGATTGGGATTTTGTTTTCGAAGTCCTCTAGCATGAGATCAATGCAATGAGCCGCACATGGTGTCCAATATAGCCTTTTTCGCTTCTCCATGAGTAGAGTACCTGCTTTTACATAATTTGGGGCATTATCTGTCACAATCTGAACAACATTTTCTTCACCCACATCTTCAATCACCTCATCCAACATCTCAAAAATCTTGTCATGTGACTTCACTATTTCAGAAGCATCAAGTGATTTCAAGAAAACAGTCCCCTTGGGACTATGAACTAGAAAATTAATCAATGCTCTTTTTTTTATGTCAGACCAACCATCACTCATTATCGTGCACCCTGTCTTCTTCCATTCGCTCCTATGTTCATTGACAATGCGTTCTGTCGACTCCACTTCTTGTTTTAAATACTTTACTCTGATCTCATGATATGACGGTGGCTTGAATCCGGGTCCATGTTTTGCAATCAAATCACACATGATACGAAACTCTTCACTTCTTGCCGTGTTGAATGCTATGGCATTGTTGAAGTAATATCTCGAAATTGCTAGACATGCATCTTCTCTCAAACTCTTCTTGTACATGCTATTAATGGTGCTTTGATTGGTCGCCCTTTTTTTGGAAAAAGTATTCGATCCATCACCAACCTCGTCNACCCCCCCGGTTATGACTTTGCTACAATAATTACATTGTAGCTTTCTATTGCTAGAATCAATTGCTTTGCAATGTTCCCAAGCAACATCTGTTTTCTGCCCAGGAGCATTTTTTGCAATTGGTCTACTAAATGGAGTGGCTGAAGCAGGGATTGACATTGTAAGAGAGTAGAGGGAAAGAAGAAGCCTGCGACAGACACAGAGGATTCCCAGGAGAAAAAAAATGTCGCTGGAGAAAAAAAAAAGAAGGAAGACTGATACACAGAGAAGTCTCGATTCCCAAATAAATAGAAGAAGATACGTCTGCTTTCCTATTCAAATTGGGAATCTATTTACGCTGCTTTCCTATTGAAATTGGGAATAAATAAAGGGAGATACCTGTTTCCGATAGAAATTGGGAGTCGCAACAGGCGCGACTATCCAATTGCAGTTCCAGAATCGATTGGAAGGAGATTTCGAAGAGACACTATTTGGACTTCTTAGACTCGGCGATTGTAGCCGATCCTGCGTTTCCACGAGCCGAATCGTCGATCCGAACGAGTCCATGGATTTCACGATTCTGCAGCCGTCCCAGATCGGTAAGCCTCTGCCGATCCTCAAAATCGTTGAATCGTACGAGTCAACTCGCGAGTTTGACTACCTTGGTCTATAGAGGGAAAAATCAAGAAAAATTATTTTTGAGGTGGCATTTCCAAATAGCCCTAAGTGTGATACAGTGAAATCTGATTTAGTGAAGTAGTATAATATCCATTTGACTTTTTGTATGGAGCAAGCAGTAGAAAGATGCTTCTTGTGGATGTCTCAAACATCAACTTGTGCTTTCTACTGTTTATGCAAACTAGAACAAATTTATCTTCTAGTATTTTGAGAACTTTCCTTACTAATATTTCCTTATCAATTTCCCCTTTCAGATGCTTTTTCTTTGGGGATACTTCATGCAAAAGGGACGCAAAACTCTACTTGTCATATATATGTTCTTTGAATGATCATTATAAGAAAAAGTACTGCATGGTTAATAATAGTGGATGCCTTGCTAATGCTGATATGCCCATGGTTATCAATACCCCTGGCTGGGTAAAAGGTTTGCTTTTGTGTATTCTGTTTTTTTTTTAATTTTTAAAATAATGTTTGAGTTCATTATTTAATGTTAATATTTTGCTTGATAGTTGATATATCATTAAATTATGCAAATATTGTAATTGTATTTGTTGCATTTCAGGGATCGGCTATGAGATACTTGTGGAAATCTTGAAATATACTTCCCCTAGTCATGTTGTCAACATTTGCATATCTGCTAAGAACAAAAATCTACCAAGAGGGTTTTTTTGGCTGGATGAGGGGGAAGCTTCACTGACAAACCTAATTGAAATCAATTCAGCCCGTCAAGACCCTTCAGGAACATCGTATGTGATGCTTTGAATCTTAAATACTTAATGCGTATGCTTGACTTTGCCTTTCACGCTGTAGTCTTCTGTTTAAAAAACTGATTCTCTTCTCCAATCTAAAATTGCATTTGGTTCTATAATTTTTAGGAAACCATTTCTTGTTGATTGTTTAAGTAATTTGTACTATCACATGAATATGCTTCACCAGGAACCCACACTTAGTCTGGAAAAGAATTAGAACTTTTTTATGGATGTATTTTTCCTGATATGTTTCAACTGTGTTTTTAGGATTCTGGTGCAAAAGAATTCACCGTTTATGAGAGACCTTCGTATTATAGCCTATTTTAAGCAATGCTTTCCAAGTGGGGCATTACCTGTACACCCTAAAGAACTTGCTCATGCATTAGCTGCACATCCTCCTTATGAGATTCCTCTATCAAGTATCAAAATTAAGCATCTTCACTGCCAGGTTGGTTCAACTGCTAAGAAACTTGTTACTCCCTCCTTCCAAAAAGAACTTGATGTTGCGGTTTAGAATGCTTGGCTAAAGTTATTTTCAATTTAATTTATTTCAAAATTGGTGTAGAAATAAAATATAAAATTTAACTATTTAAAAACTACATCAAACGATCTATAAAACAAGAGGTGACATAGATTATATTATTTCAATATTTTGTCAAATGATCAATCATAATAGGTGGTAAAGAAAAAGGATATAGTATCACTACGTGAATAGTAAACGTAAAGATCTTTTTGGGATGGAGGGAGTATTTTGCTATGACTGATTGAGGAAGCTGAATGGAAGTATATAATTCTCTTTCTGTTGAAAAGATTTTTCATTACATTTTCACATTACCTTTCATCATTTGGTGAAGTATTTTGCATATTGTTTAGAGTAATTTAGAGAGACATTTGGATATATAAAATCCTATGGTGAATTGGTGATGTAAAATACTACTGTTAGGTACCCAAGGCCGAGGTTTTCTACAGCTTGAATGCAACCATTGTTGGATTGGCAGTTAGCTGTGACGGTACTGAAGATATGCCTCATTGTGTTGGTTTGGGTATGTTACTGCAAAACTTATGCTAATATTGATTGGTTGCCCCCTTTGAATTTCATGGATCTGTTGTTATAAAACACTTCATCGGAAAATACTGTTGGATATCTACTCCAGGGAGATAATTGCATCTCAATGTTAATTTTAGGGCCAGATAATTAGTTTAATATGGAACTGGTCAATTCTTTAAGTTTGGGATTTCATCCTAAGGGTTCAACCAGATAGGAGAGAAGTCAAATGGCTTACATAATCATTCATATTTTTATATTTGACCGATGTGGATGACTTAATATACCATAGCAAGATTGTGGCTTATTAGAGCAAACCAATCTTGAAATGCGTAAGGTCGTTGAAGCTTAGAAGGATCAAATTGCTCATTTAAGCTTAGTAGGCTCTTGATACCATATTAATGTTTGAATTCCTATCCTAAAAGGTTAACATCATAGGAAGAGTAGTCTATATATTTCCAAATTAAATTTAGATTTTTCTTCCGCCTCAAAATTAAACTTCGCATTTCTCTCATTTCATTTTTTAAAAATGAGGTTAACAACATTTCTCCCATCTAATCAAATTTCAATCACAATTTTTTTAGCAGTTTTCTTTATCGCTGTGAAGTCAAACTATACTTTAATTTAGGGACGGATGGAGTATTTTTATATGCAGCATATGTTGCATGTTTTAATAAGCACGATTTGATTTGTTCTTTCCTTGAAAATGAACCAGGAATTGTGAGAAGCATTGACACCTTGAAACGGGTTCTCTATATAATTACTCCTGTGCCGTTAGACAGTCTGGAGAAGGTCGACCTTTTGCTGCAAGGTTTCATTGAATTGCCCACATCTTTACTGCAAGTGAGTTTGCAATCTTGTTACCAATTTCTTCACATTCTAGCCAGTCTTTGCTCTTCTTTTGATTTTGATTTCATTTCTAGCATTCTGCATTTTGCCCTGAGCAAAAATACGGTCAAAAAGAAACCCCACCCAGAAATCAAAATCAATCCCCTTTAATAATGCAAATTAAAGAAGCTAATTTTTGTGTTAATTGGGGGTTCTTCAGGTTCAAGGCTGTGTTTCACCTTACATGTCTGCCAATGTATTGCCTGAATATTATTGTTGGAATGCTCACACACACGGCCGTAACCAAATTGCAACAATTCAGTGAGATCCCACAAGTGCGGGATGTGTGTGTGAGTCGACCTTATTGCTACCTGTAAGGCAGTGAGGATGTAACTAAGTTACTAGTAGTAGAGTACTCCTATTTAAGTACTCCTATTCACTTTTTCAAGGTATTCCAAATTAATTATCAATTGTCAAAAATATTCTCTTAAGAGTAAGTTAGCATTGCAGGTTTGAGTAGGTTTCAGTTAAGACTTCAGGTCAACTTCCGATCGATTAAAAGTCGGGCTGGGTCAAATTTCATTGGGGTTGTTTTGAGTTGGATAAATGTCTTGTTAGATTAAATTTTTATCCCACAAGATAAAAATTGCATGCCACAAAATTTAATTGATTTAGATTTTCAATCCAGTTTTTTGAGATTTGATTATGTGAATGGAAGTCGAAATTCGATAAATCATTAATTTATCCAATTGCTAAGAGAATGCAATTGGGAGAACAAATTTCAAATATGTTTTTGATTTTATCAAAACGATTCAAGAATGTTAATTCTTTTTTCATCAAGGCTTAGTTTTTACTTAAATTTAAAACACAGGTAAATTAATTCAAACATGTTTTTTATTGTTATTTTAAGGAGTAATTGAATAATCATATGTTAATACTAAAAAAAGGATGAGCCCCATTCCCGGAGGCCCCTCGGACAGAGGCGGATCCAGGAATTTCGAGCCATGGGGTCTCTGTTTAAGTTTTTGTTATTCAAATTAAATTTCATTTAAAATAAACTAAAAATATGTACTATTTGAATGACATTCTAAATTTAATAATCAAGTCAATTTTTTAGTCATAAATTTTGCATTGGAAACCCTTAAAGGATAAAATTTGTTATAGTATCTACAAGCACAACTTTAATCTTCCGATTGAATTTGTTCATTGACATGATATCAAAGTTTTACTAACTTAGAAGTCACAAGTTTAAATCTCACCACCACACAATTAAAAATAATTAATATTCACATAGAAGACTCACCATAAACAAAAATTGTCCACTCATTTGGGGGCTTGTTAGAGCATAAACAAAACTCAATTGTTATGAATGATGGTTTCTTGTGAAAAGTTTTAAATGAAGAAAGTTTGGATCTAGATTTTGTTTGAAAATAACATTTTCAAATATTAGTGTTAGCGGTTTTGAACAAATTAAATATATAAATTAATTTAAAAAATAGTAAAGTCAAACGCTATTGTTAGATAAACTTTTCAAAACATTAATATTCTGTATTTTGATACTACATATAATTATACATATACAAAATTTGAAAAGTTGTTAAAAGGTGAAAATTGTATAATTTCAATATATTTTGAAGAGAAATAAATACTACATATTTTGTAAAATAAATCATTTTTTAAAAAAGAGAAAGAAAATAGTAAAAAAATATTTTTGAATGAATATATAAAAAAGTGAATAAACTTTGAGAGGAGGAATTAGGTATAATTCAATTAATCTACCTAAAATGTGTTTTTTTGGTCTTTGCTAGGGATGGTTTTCTTTACGGAGTACTAAAAAAAGAAGAACAAAATTTGAAAAGTTGTTAAAAGGTGAAAATTGTATAATTTGAATATATTTTGAAGAGAAATAAATACTACATATTTTGTAAAATAAATCATTTTTTAAAAAAGAGAAAGAAAATAGTAAAAAAATATTTTTGAATGAATATATAAAAAAGTGAATAAACTTTGAGAGGAGGAATTAGGTATAATTCAATTAATCTACCTAAAATGTGTTTTTTTTGGTCTTTGCTAGGGATGGTTTTCTTTACGGAGTACTAAAAAAGGAAGAAAAATAAAATAATAGAGAAAAATCACTCTAGCTCAAGGAGGAATTAGGTATAGTAATNTAGGTAGAGAAAAATCACTCTACATATTTTGTAAAATAAATCATTTTTTAAAAAAGAGAAAGAAAATAGTAAAAAAATATTTTTGAATGAATATATAAAAAAGTGAATAAACTTTGAGAGGAGGAATTAGGTATAATTCAATTAATCTACCTAAAATGTGTTTTTTTTGGTCTTTGCTAGGGATGGTTTTCTTTACGGAGTACTAAAAAAGGAAGAAAAATAAAATAATAGAGAAAAATCACTCTAGCTCAAGCAGGGATCGAACCCACAACCATACGGGAACTACAACACGCATCCGACCACTCGAGCACATGGACCACATATTTTACTACTGCTTTTCGTTTTATATATAACAATATTAAAAAAATACCTAATATATATAATATCCTACGTGGAGGTCCGTGGGGTCCCGGGACCCTATAGGACTCCAAGTAGATCCGCCTATGCCCTTAGATCCGGCCGGACGGTCACTGAGAGGAGGTAAATTAGACTTTAATCGTAGATTGGTGACAATGAATGGAACCTACACTTGGTACTTATAGAGATCCTATGCTTATCATATGTTAATACTACGTACTTTGTATGATTCATCATGACACTCGAGCCATACATTAAATAAAGTCTCTTAACCTCTTGATTATCATTTTTGTATACTTTGTAAGCATTTTTAATTTTCAATTTCAACAGCAAATTACATTGATTCATTAACTAGTAACTTAATATCCTACATTTAAAATTATAATTACGAAAAGTAAAAAAATGTAAATGTATTTGTATTTTTAATCTTGTTGGCTAAGACTCAACTCATGTCAAACTTATATTCGGTTAGTTCAAGTTTGAGTCATTTTTGTTCGGGTATACTGGCTAGGGATAATTAAGTTTTGGATCAATTTGAGTTCGAGATTGAGTCACTTCGATTTGGATTGAAATCGAGTAAATTAGTTTTCTCACCAGTTCAATTTCGTATTGATTTTGTTTGAGTTTCTAATCAAGATCGACTTAATCAGTTAATTGTGTAGTATTTTAGATCATTCGATCCAGTTGACATTAGTTTTGCTAGGTCTAGACAAACAACAATGTCAATACTCTTTGCATAGACATGTAGAAACAACCATGTTATTATTTGGACATGTGCCTAAAATCTTTTATACTCCTTTCATCTCAAATTAAATTATTTTTGGTTTACGATATTTGATTTAAAATATTTTTAATTCAATTTAATTGGGAATTGGGTAGAATTAAAATATAAAATTTAGAATTTGCCGAGTATGGAGATGACGAAGCTTTGTGAGATTTGACAGTGAAACCGAGTCAAAGATAGGCGATTAGGTCGAGAAAGTAGTGCACAAGAAAAAAAGAGGACAAATCAGTTTGTTCAGTTTTGACTTTTTGCTCAGAGTATTTGTTTAATTTTAACTTTTTGCATTCAAAATTGATAAATTTTAACTCTCAATTAAATACTAGTAATTTATTATAGATTTGTATCCAAGAGCAATTTATTAGATGTAGCTTGTAGAGTATTTTGAAAATATCTTTTTATTAATTAATATTACATACTCCCTCCGTTTCACAAAACCCTTCCAGTTTTGACTTTGGGGAAAAATAAGGAAAGTGTAATTTTGGTTGACTTTCCAATTTTGCCCGTGATGTGATGGGTAAAAGTAAGATGTGATAGTTTGGTTATTAGTGAAAAAGTATGATGTGATAGGTAGGGTATGAAAAAGTAGGGGTAAAAGTGGTTTTTTAATAGAAAGTGGAAGTGTTTCGTGGAAAACAAAAAAACGAAAGAGAAAGTGTTTTGTGGAACGGAGAGAGTATAATTTTTATCTAATTACTACCTCCGTCCCAGAGTATTTGTCCACTTTCATTTTTACACATCATCCAATACACTTCTTTAATCCATTTTATCTTGTAATTTGTATATTAAAAACTTATAGAAATTATATACAGTATTAATAATCTATATGTTAAGACAAATCAAACAAGATCACACATGACTATATTTAGGCTTAAACATTGAGAGAATTTGATGAGTCAAAGTGCTTAGATGAACATTTCCAAAAGTCAAAAGTGGACGTATACTCCGGGACGGAGGGAGTATAAGTTAAAGATTTATTTTGGTTAACTACAAAAATTTATGTTGGACAAATACTTTAGAACGAAAAGAGTATTTTTCTTGAATAAAAATAAAAATATGTGACGAAACAAATGATACTCCTGTTAGAAAAGATAATACGAATATCGTTATGAACAAATGATAGAGATATACCTTGATAGCGTAAATCAAAAATCAAAGTGCAATGGAGAATCAAAGGAGAAGAAATGCAATGAGATCAATAGACTAAGGAGAAGGATGTTCCATTTCAACATATGGAGCCTCTATATATAGGCTTACAAATGGGAAAAGCAAAGGTCTAACTTAGACATGGAGAACATCAAAAGACATTTGTACATAACACTCCCCCTTGGATTTTGGATGTTCACCATTTAGGTAGACTTGAGCTTAAGACACTACCTCGTTAAAACCTTGCCAAGAAAAACCCAATGGGACAAAAACTTGGACGAAGGAAAAAGAGTACAGTGCTTATAATGCTCCCATGGACATGGCAAAAGATCCTTGAGTTGACGCATTCCAATACCATTGATCATCTTCCTAAATGTCGTGGTTGGCAATGCCTTTGTGAACAAATCCGCAAGGTTATTGCATGACTGTATCTGACGAACCTCAATGTCTCCACTTTTCTGAAGCTTGTGCGGATAGAAGAATTTTGGTGATATGTGCTTTGTCTTGTCGCTTTTGATGTAGCCACTTTTAATTTGTGCAATACAAGCAGCATTATCTTCATAGAGTAATGATGGAGCCTTATTCAAAGATAATCCACAAGTTTCCCGAATGTGATGAACTATTGACCTTAACCATATGCATTCTCGACTTGCTTCATATAATGCCATTATCTCCGAGTGGTTTGACGAGGTTGCAACTAGTGTTTGCTTTACTGATCTCCATGATATTGCAGCACCACCACAAGTAAAAATATATCCACTTTGTGATTTACCCTTATGTGGGTCAGAAAGATAGCCAGCATCTGTGTAACCAACAACTTGTGGTTCCGAACCTTTTGAATAAAATAGACCCATATCGGTTGTTCCACGAAGATAACGTAAGATATGTTTAACACCATTCCAATATCGTCGTGTTGGTGCTGAGCTATATCTTGTCAACAAATTAACCGAAAAGGCAATATCAGGTCTTGTACAATTTGCAAGATACATTAGCACCCCTATAGCACTTAAATAAGGTACCTCCGGACCTAAAAGTTCTTCATTATCTTCTCGAGGGCGAAAAGGGTCCTTCTTTACATCTAATGATCGAACAACCATGGGACTGCTCAATGGGTGTGCCTTA